CAGTACTAAATATCTTTATAAAATACCTACACAAGACAGTCTAGGTATCTTTATGTTACTTACACAAGAAAGTACTATGTATCTTTATGTTACTTAAACACGACAGTCCTAGGTATCTTTATGCTATATGCATACAACGTACTATTAAGTATCTTTATGTTACCTACACAAGACAGTACTAAGTATCTTTATGTTATCTACACAAGACAGTACTAAGTATCTTTATGTTACCTACACAAGACAGTACTAACTATCATCATGTTATCTACACAAGACAGTACTAAGTATCTTCATGTTATCTACACAAGACATTGCTAACTATCATCATGTTATCTACACAAGATAGTATTAAGTATCTTTATGTTATCTACACAAAATAGTATTAAGTGTCTTTATGCTACCTGCACAAGGCAGTACTAAGTATCTTTATGTTACTTACACACAACAGAACTAAGTACCTTTATGTTACCTACAGAAGATAGTACTAAGTATCTTTATGTTATTTACACAAGATAGTACTAAGTATCTTTATGTTATCTACACAAGACAGTACTAAGTATCTTTATGTTATCTACACAAGACAGTACTAAGTATCTTTATGTTATCTACACAAGATAGTACTAAGTATCTTTACGTTATCTACATAAGATAATACTAAGTATCTTTATGTTATCTACACAAGACAGTATTAAGTATCTTTATGTTATCTACACAAGATGATACTAAGTGTCTTTATGTAATACCTACACAAGACAGTAGTAAGTGTATTTATGTAATACCTACACAAGACAGTACTAAGTATCTTTATGTTATCTACAGAAGAAAGTACTAAGTATCTTTATGTTATCTACACAAGACAGTACTAAGTATCTTTATGTAATACCTACACAAGATAGTACTAAGTATCTTTATGTTATCTACACAAGATAGTACAAAATATCTTTGTTATCTACACAAAATAGTATTAAGTATCTTTATGTTATCTACACAAAATAGTATTAACTGTCTTTATGCTACCTGCTCAAGACAGTACTAAGTATCTTTGTGTTACTTACACAAGACAGTACTCAGTATATTTTAGTAATCTACACAAGACAGTAGTAGGTATATTTATGTTATCTACACCAGACAGTACTAAGTATCTTTATGTTATCTACAGAAGATAGTACTAAATATCTTTATGTTATTTACACACAACAGAACTAAGTACCTTTATGTTACCTACAGAAGATAGTACTAAGTATCTTTATGTTATTTACACAAGATAGTACTAAGTATCTTTATGTTATCTACACAAGACAGTACTAAGTATCTTTATGTTATCTACACAAGACAGTACTAAGTAGCTTTATGTTATCTACACAAGACAGTACTAAGTATTTTTATGTTATCTGCACAAAATAGTACTAAGTATCTTTATGTTATATACACAATACACTACTAATTAGCATTATGTTATCATTACAAGATTGTACTAAATATTCAAATTTTCATGTCTGTTTAAGAAAGTAGAAATGGTTTCAACTTACCGGCACAAGTCAGTGCTAAAGACATAAAGGATATCCTCCTTATCAATGTGAGGTGGAAACTGACTGCCATCTAGAAGACAAGTAGAATGTTGCTGTTTTTATTATTAGTCAAAAACCTAATTTACTTATAGATAACAAAAGAGCATTCTGTCCTAAAATACAGGTAATTTAAAAAAAGAGCTAAAATACTTAATATTATAACTCAAAAGAATCTTACTGACTACCTCACTTATCTAAAACACCAATATAGATGTGAATATAATAGTAAAACTAAAACATTCATCATAACACAAAGCTACAAACAACAACAACACAACCTTAAGTATAACATGTATACTAAAAGATATTCATCACAACACATAGCTACAAATAACAACAGCAACAAAGCTTTAAAAATAATACTAAAACATATCTGCAACAGATTCATACAGTGGAATCAAAGTTTAATGATGAACAACAGGAACAACAAACATTTGGGATTTGTGTGACGGTAAAAAATTTTATTAATTGAACTTTTCGGAAAGTACATGTTCTATCTTCAACAAGCTATACTGAAAAAGATAAAATATTAAGAACAAGAATTTTTTAAAGTTCCAACATTTTGTAAAGAGGAATTAAAATACAGAGTAAAAAAGATGAAGTCAATTAGAAAAACAAAAACAAGAAAGAATAGGATAGTGGAAAATGGTAATAATATTATACATGTTATAAGGTAGCGCAACAATGGTAATAATACTATACAAGTTATAGGGTTGTGGAACAATGGTAATAATACTATACAAGTTATAGGGTTGTGGAACAATGGTAATAATATTATACAAGTTATAGGATGGTGCTACAATGGTAATAATATTATACATGTTATAAGGTAGCGCAACAATGGTAATAATACTATACAAGTTATAGGGTTGTGGAACAATGGTAATAATATTATACAAGTTATAGGATGGTGCTACAATGGTAATAATATTATACATGTTATAAGGTAGCGCAACAATGGTAATAATACTATACAAGTTATAGGATGGTGCTACAATGGTAATAATATTATACATGTTATAAGGTAGTGGAACAATGGTAATAGTATTATACAAGTTATAAGGTAGCACAACAATGGCAATAATATTATACAAGTTATAGGATGGTGCTACAATGGTAATAATATTATACAGATTATAGGATGGTGCTACAATGGTAATAATACTATACAAGTTATAGGATAGTGGAACAATGGTAATAATATTATACAAGTTATAGGGTAGTGCACTAGCTAAGGGCCTAAAGTTTCACTTACCTCCCCCTAAACTGAAAATTCTGTGATTATATGTTCCCCTTTGAGTGCAGTTATAAAACTTTGAAATCTCAACATATGTTCATCAGGAATTGTCCCCAGAACTTTGTAAAAACCAGTTTCAAAAATGCTGCCTTGTCCTGATTTACAACCAGAACTCCCATAAATCTGGTTCCACCATCACTCATGAAGAATATATTGCTTTAAAGGAATTAGCTAATGTTCAAATATCGTCACCACCCAACCTAATAAAGGTACAGGTGTTGTTATCAAGAAAAAAAAATTAACATATTACTTTGTCACTATGAGTGTTCTTGGTTAGACCTTTAGGGCTGACTAACATATTACTTTGTCACTATGAGTGTTCTTGGTTAGACCTTTAGGGCTGACTAACATATTACTTTGTCACTACGAGTGTTCTTGGTTAGACCTTTAGGGCTGACTAATGTATTACTTTGTCACTACGAGTGTTCTTGGTTAGACCTTTAGGGCTGACTAATGTATTACTTTGTCACTAAGAGTGTTCTTGGTTAGACCTTTAGGGCTGACTAATGTATTACTTTGTCACTAAGAGTGTTCTTGGTTAGACCTTTAGGGCTGACTAACATATTACTTTGTCATTAAGAAAGGACTTGTGTCGCTAAAGTTTCGTGGGAACGAAGTTACGGAAAATCAACTAACGAACTGAGACGTAACAAATTGGTGTCAGAAGTGGGATAAAAAAAATGGAAACGAGAAGCGGCAAATCAAACTACAGCATAGCAGACTTGATGGCAGCAATACAAGAGCAGCAAAAGAAACAAGAAGAACGAGAAAATAAACAAGAAGAACGAGAACAGAAATTACAACAGTTGTTAGAGGAAAAAGAAAAGAAACAAGAAGAACGAGAAAATAAACAAGAAGAGAGACAACAGCAGTTGCAAGAAAACCTGCAACAGTGGCAGCTCGAACAGCAAAATAAACAAGAGAGATTACAGCAGTTGTTGGAGGAAAAAGAAAGAAGAACGAGAAAGAAACAAAAAGAAGAAGATAGAGACGTAGTTGGAGGAGAAAGAAAA